GTTCTTGTGGGTGACGCTTGGTTTAGTGGTCCAAGGCTTCTTCCGCCCTCGTCTTCCTCTTCCCCCGACAAGCCGAAGGTAGTTAAGATATTTTTCTTTGTCTCCTAAGAAAACCAAATGAGGCAGCCAACAATCACTTTTCAGTGGGCATTTCTTGAGTGATCGAAGACTTGCTGTTTCTTTTACTCTCTCTCCAAATCTAGCTCTTGCAAGAGCCTCATTAATGTTATCCCAGTGGTCTTTTAGCATTGAATGGTAAGCTTTCATTTTGTTCATATATCCTGTGGATATCTTCCTTTTTTTTAATAGCTCGCTGAATATAGGTCTGCTAGTCTAGTTGTTATAGTGAGTTGCTGCTTAGGAAAAGGGCTGGAATTGAAAATCTCCTGTTCTGTTAACAGGGTTTCTTTGTATGTAGCGCTAAAAGTGCCTGGTGCATTCTTCCCACCTGTCTGCTTGGTATTTACAGCACTTTTCTTAATCTTCTTTTTTTCCTTCAGCTGCCTAATGTTCTTAATTTCAGTAGTTTGCCCTATATTTTTCTTCTGCTGCTTTTCAGTTAGTGTGATACTGTCTAGTCTGCTTTAGATATTAGCAATGTTCCTGTTGTCTTGGTAACAAAGATCTTACCAAAGCCTGTTTAAATTAATGGAAAGAGGCCGATTGACTTCAGTGGGTCTTAGACCAGGCTTGAAGTGCTAAGTGAAATGTATATGGAAACACAGAGGAAAAGAATATAATCGGGCATTTTTCTGCATCCTCTTCAAGTTTGTGCATAGATGCTACTAGGGTCTCTCTGTTGTCCGTTTAATGAAGATGCCGGCTTTCTCGTCTTTGGAGTCCTTGGTAAGAACGACCCACGCGCCTTGAGAGACTCTCTCTCTTCCAGGACCTTCGCTTCCCGTGTTTGTCTGATTGTCATCAAATGTCAAGCAAGAGGGAGGAGCTTCTGAGGGCATCAGGACTTTCACAGGCATCGTGGTTTCTTCCCACGAGAGGGAAGAACCGGACTGGGCTTTGTCACGGGAAGCTCTTTGTTCCTTCCTCCCCGCTCCCACTGTTTCAAGCTAGGAAGGCGGGGGGAGGAGGGGAACCACTTTAAAATGCCTGGGTGGTATTTAAGATACCAGAAAATATGGTCACTACAGTAGAGAGTCATTACCAACAGTTTGTGGTGTAGAGACTGTGACACAGTGATTAATCAACGGTGAAACGACGAATGAGTTAATCCAGGGCTTTCTAAACACTTGTCTGTGCAGCCCCTGCCCCATGGCAGCAAAGGAGGAACCCGCGCCGACCCTAACAGCTGCACTGTTTGCCCTTTCTCCTTCCTGGTGTTTTCTACCTGCGTGCCTCAGTGCGGCGTCTTCGCTGGTTCTTCCCTGGGTCGTTTCATGCTGTTTTTATTCCCAGGTCAGCTCTCCCTTGAGTTGTCCCCGCTCCTATGCTCCACCCCAGTTGCCCAAGGCTGAGCTGATGTCTCCCAGCAGGTCCCAAGTCACAGGCTCCTTCATTGCTGGTGCCTAGGGAGGGAGCAGGTCCTGCCGAGTCTCAGCCCC